CTTTTTTTCCTACTTTCAATCACCATTTATTTTTAAATTCAAGAAAGAACACCTGAGATTCATTTATTGGTATAACAGTTTTTGATAATCGGGTTGAAAATTGTGTCATAGATGAGTACGTTGAGGATGAGAGCTGTGTTCAAGTTTTGGAATAGACTAACTACGGAGTCTATGGTTTTGGTAAAGTAGGTGAACTAATGTCAATTCAGGTATTAAAAAAAAATTTGTACACAGTTTTTACTTTGATGTACACATGTAGCTAGGTTGAACAACGCATCTAAACGTCACTACATACAAAACATTCGGAAACACAACAGTGTCAACACATCTCATCACATTTGCATAGTTTGTTACCAATGCTGGACTAGGTTATGGGTTTGGTTCCGCAAATGTTCAAGATTTGTGATAAAATTTCCTACAATTATGGTTCATTCCAATCCACGAAATACATGCACAGCTTTATGTGATCTATATGGCCAAGGCAAAACCACCCCATAAGTTAATGAATTATCAAGTAAGAACAGGATGATTAAATACATGGGTCGATGTGGCAAGAGAAGGATTTAAAATTGCTGAGATCGAAGTAAGAATGTTACTGCTTTCTGGAGTATCAGATATTTTTATCAAAAAAAGATGAAGATTTACTTATAAATCCGGATACAATCTGAATGATTTTCCTCAAGCAGATGGAATTAGTGGTTAGTAATAAATATTGACTCTTTCCGTAACATGATAGACTAATTATATGAACTCATTCTCCCATATAGTGAAAGTGGCTTTGGTATGAAACAAACTCATGAACAAACAATTATAAGACTCCTAAAAAACCTTTTGGGCAACCTAAAGCCGATAAAAAGAAAGGTAGGAAATATTGTGTTAAACGAATTCATCAATCACGTTTTTTAGGGAACACAATCGTCATACTTATTATTGCTTATCCTCCCTTCATATAACTAAGATTTTAATGTCTTCACTCTATTCAACGCAGTTAGCTGAATTTACATAAGGTAGCACTTTTTCTTCCTAGGGAGTAAAAATCGGCTTTTGCAAACTCAGCTGTAAACTTCTATTGTAAGCAATCGCATGGATCGAAATTATGTATCGATTGATTTAATCGGATGTAGCTGTTGTATTCTTGTTAATAGTTCGACATATCGATGGTATAAAGAAAACGTACACAATCGCAATAGACTCGATTGAATCATTTACTAAACAGGTTTGCATTAGGGAAAATGAAAACAAGTTGGAAGTCTTTTGAGAGGTTGTCTCTACATTAAAAGTAATCTTGTTACTAACTTAGTTTATTAAAATAGTGTTGCGATATGACAAAAAATAAAGTTAATCTGTTCATCACATGGGTAAAAATTGTCTTTTCAGCTATAGCTTATTATCATAAATTTGAAACTTTGACCTCGAGTTTAAAAGAGTCACTTTACGCCATAGTGATGAAATATTATTAGTGTTTTAATTTAATGTATTTCATAGGTAAACTACCAGTTTCCTTGTCATGGATACCTCACAAGGAAGGCATGCTCACAATGTGAAATACCTGATAGCTTATCTAGGTACTTAGCTTATCAATAAGTACCTACAGCACGCTTAGCCACGCATCTGCCTTCTGGCTTAGCCAAGATTGGTGCCATGAGCTGAGCTAGATGAGTCAGGGGGTTTTGTGGTGCCTGTACCTTTACAGATATTGTGATATAATTAGATATCATGTCCAACCATCTTCACATACTTGAACTTTTAACTAGGCTCTAAATAGATTACATAAATGCATTCTATCGTTGATTATAAATATCTAAAATACTTGTCGATGTCATGACCGATCTAAAATTACTTGTCGGGGAATGCCTTAAGTACACTAATCTCTGCTGCTTACGTTGTCTTTGCTTTATAGTCTTTACATACTATAGAATACTTTATAGTCTGTGCTATTTCCATTATTGCTGATTTAGGGTCAATTAAACTAATTCAACACAAGTGAACAGCTCTTAATTGGTGGTCTTCTCATTAATAATCACATTTATAAATATTTAGTTTAAATTTCATTTTTGCTAGATTCAAGTAATGATAATGATAGATGTGTAAGATAATCTTACCTCTGAGATTTCATCATAGCTAAGTACTACTTGAGAACATCCTTAAAATAAATTAAACCTCGTATGTGCGGTAAAATGGTTATTTTTAAGTTGTCAAGCCTTTAATGAGTTGGGCTTGGTGTATTACAACTTTAAATGCCGTAAAAACCATCACATTAACTTTATATCTATTCTTGGCTTGAAAATACGTTTAGAACAGAGCAGGTTTTCAGTGATACGGAGGTCGTAGGGAACTTTCAGACCAAGTTATATTTTATGAGGAGTTTGGTTACAGTAAGTTTAGCAAAGTTGCAACGCTTTTTTCTGTTATCACCGAGAGATAAAAGGCATCAAGTACCTGTCGTTATGTAAAACAATATGATAGTGATAGACAATGGAATTTCAACGATTTGACAAACACGTGTATGTTATTCCTATTCTAATTAGGCTCCCATAAGCAGTTGTCGTATCCGTCGGTCGGAAAATACATCAATAGTTTAAGAAAATAAATCTGAATATAGTTATCTATTTGGAGATATAGAACATACGCCATTTTACGAATGACTAAGTACGAATAAATATAAAACAAAACACCCATAATATATTTTAAAAATGGGGCTGATATAGATGGCGGAACAGGTCAAGAACCACAATATAATTGTTTTGGTTATGTAAGACTTATTGAAAGAATAGGACCGAGAGAAATATAACAGAAAAATCAATATAAAGGAACAAAATACAAGCAAAATGATTCAAATAAATACAATAATTACAAAAGAAAAAACTACACCAGACAATAGAACAATTTGACATTTCAAAAGAAAAATCTGGTTAAAGTTACGTTTCTTTCGTGAAACAATGTCACAAAGTGTAAAATTGTTTTACAGACAATTAAATAGTAATTAAGAAACATAAAAAATACTTACAAAATATCCAGTTAGTTTTAAGTCCAACAATCAGCAAAATGGAACAAACTTTATTTTATATTGACAACTAGTTTTGTACGAATAACTTATTATAAAAATTTCAACTTTGAAATATGAAATACTTCACACCTATTGAATATGCACTTAGCAGACTTTTCCCTTTGTGCTTTTGTACTTTCTCTAAATACATGTAAAAAGAGTTTTGTGTGCATTCATTAGGTTTTATAACTTTGAAATAAATAATATATTTTCACCGTATAATATAATATAGTACAACATTACAAAATGATTTTTTTTTTCATTATTAGTTTTATTTACAATAAATCAACATAACAATATTCATCTATTCTTAGCAAAACACAAATTGACGTATAACTTTTTACCAACAAGATTCTGAACTTTTTCCAAGATTAATTTTAATCTCCTAATATGTGAAGTTCTGAACTTATACATATTTAACGAAATTTTTTACATTTTTTATGGTAATTAAATACTGCACATTTTGAACGCAGAAATGCGCACAAAATCATAAATCATAAGTCATCTAATTTATTAGTATCTTAGACTATTGGCGGATTAAAACATCTTAATCCCATGTAAACGCGGTAACCGCTTTTTGAATGGAAATAGACGTGGTTAATTGAGGTTAAGACACTGACAGATTCAATTTCTGTTTTAAATACGCCAAATTTAACACCAAGTTAAATTTAAACGATAACCTACTGTAAACTATAGCATATTTTTGTCACATATTAGTTATCGCAATTACAAAAACAAAATGATAACTCGAATCTTATCAGCATTATTGCACTTTTGTTAGTGGCTTATTCAATTTAAATAAGAACTTGACAATAACTTCACCATATACAGTACTGTACAGTAGGTGGAAATGACTACTGCAGTATCCAATAGTCAAAGTGGTACACAACTAATTACAATGTTAGTTTCTTGTTCGCCAAATGCTTTTAAGTGGTTTCAGGAACTGGTCCCAACAATTGAGTAACAGGTTCCCAAATTAATCTTTAAGCAAAAGTGTTCTTGTAAAATATTTTTGCCAACTTCCATTCCGCATTAGTGAAATAGCAATGGAAATAGTCATTGGAAACGTCATCTTTGGAAAATGCGTAGCACTACTTGCATCTAAGAATAATTGTTGTATGGTTTATTAGCATTATGAGATGCGGACGCCACCTATAATAAGTTGCGTATTTTAACCCAAACGTGAGTGAATAATGAGTTTAGAATGTTGTGAGATGATGTACTGTGTAGCTTTGTTACTGACTAAGATCAGCTGTTTCATAAGCCAGGATCATTTACTTAAAGCCCAATGAAGCCCATCTTGGGTCCAGTTCCGAATAACCAATTTAGGTATTGTGCGTTATTTTTTATGGAACGGTAATTTTTCAATTGATAGTCTCGGAGCACCTGAAAAGAGCCCGAAATTTGTATCCCCAATCCCTATTAATCCCCGGTAGTCCATATTATTTACTGGTCTTTTGTACACGTAACGTAATACTGTTCATATAAACATATTTACATCAAAGCTGCGGGACGAAATGATACTAAACGATGATATTAAAACTACTATTTTATGTACAAATGAATTACTTTTTTTCTGATTTTACCTATAAAATATCATAGTTACTCCGCTTACTCCGCTTATAAGGGTTGTTGACAAGCTAATGAGAAAGAATGTGTCAGTTTGCTGATACCGTTTTTAACTGTACCTTCAGTTGGGCTTCGCTAAAGGTCGGTTTATCTAACAAAAGTCAGTAATTGACTACTACAATTTTTTAATTCAATTACGTTCATTCTAAACTGTCTCCATCTTTGTCATGGTAATGTCTACTTCAACAGCCAAACCACGAAGTCTGGTCCACGATCCTAAAACCTCACACTCTTATCTTTGATTGACATGTTCTTGTGAGAGAAGTCAAGTACCGTATCTGACAACAATGAAAGTGACTGTGATCACAGCCTAGTCTCGCGTCGACCGTCGTTGCGCACGGACCTAACCTAACCTAACTTTCTAACCTAACCTAACCCGCCTAGTCAGTCTAGTCCATGTTCTGTTATTTGAGTGATTCGGGTGCGATACAAGACATCGGTTTGAACTGCAATTTTAAAGTAAGTCATTTTGTGTGCCTTTTATCATTGACTATACATATAATAAATAGGCTGTCAATCTAAATATTATCTATCTATAATCTATCTAAGACATTCCTCTCAAATTTGTGTTTTCAGAGTAAAAAGTATTTTATTCTGTTTTGGTCGTTCTACAATGTGCGCTAATGTAAATTACTTAAATGTGTCGAATATGAGGTTTTAACCAAGTCAAGTTGGAAGGCAACTTGAACTTATTGTAACCTATAGCAGCTTTTATGTCACATAAACATTAACAAAATAAAAAGGCGAAATATAGTTTCATAATATGGTTCTTTGAACTATGAGCAATTCAGTTCAAATTAGCTGCACCTTTTTTATTAAAATCCGGGACCCCTATTTCTGGAATCAAAAATATATGGTTTTATATTTTAATGGTTTACATTTTCCTGTTAATTTGAACTCTGATTTATTTTTTATCACACGAAATGCTTATTTTTATTTGGAGTACTGTATTTTGAAATGCTAAATGCTTCAAACTCACAATGTAGATAATAAAATAAAATATAAGCTCTTAAAACCGATTCGTCTATGGTAGATGGGTAGACTAAATAAATTCGGCATCGATTAAATATAAACATAAGTAAGCCTTCATGAAGCCTATAATTGAGTCTTCACAAACTAGTTTTTCATTTAAAGTTCTGATTTATACGAGTATATTCCTTAATTTAAAATTTCACGTGTGTCTTAAAATGACGCTTTTGCATCTTTTAAGATAATGTCCTTGTGAATATCTCATGTCATGTGCTTGTAAAATTAAGTTTATTTCTCGCTCTTATCCGGAGATAAAAACTGAAGTGCTGGTATATTTCCCTCGTGTTGTTAGCTTGAAAAAGGTATTTGGTAAAACCACAGGCTTAGCTCAATCTATTGAATCAAAAGATTAAAATCAGGTTTCTAAGACTTCTCGAAACATTCAATATAAGCTGATACGTTTTAAACAGCTTGTAGTCGACGATTCTGTAGTCACAGGTCGAAATCGCAAGATTAGGCAGGTACCGTACCATGTAAAATCATTCTTAATACTAATCAAACCGAAGTATAATTTGTACTAATATCTTAAACATGTATAGCGTAAATACCAAATATGATTGATCAACGGACTTACGATCAATAAATAATGTATATTATTTTCTACCTCTTTGATTACTATTTACATTATAGATATAAATTAGGGGTGGGTATAATGAATTTTTTTATATAACTGATTTTGAAAACCCAGTGTTATTGTGCTTCGGTTCCCCCATTTGGGGCGATAAGTATTTATCTGAAGTTTCCCGAATGTTGTTATTATTTTTGTGTTGAACATACGTAGGGGAGAGTGTTGTACCTTTAACCAGTTTTCACTTACAAATTTTTTGTAGAAACAGAAAAGCTCCAATTATTTTAAAAACAGTCAACGATGATACTTAACTGTTTCATCCATGTATTAAATATTTTTTCCAGTTCCTTTTCATAAGTTTTAACCTATTTTTAGTAATAAAGAAAATTTGTTACATGGTGGTCAAAGGTTCAACATGCAGTTGTACCTTTGACCAGTGGGTGTTGTACCTTTGACCAGCATATCGATTTCAGCCCAAAACAGATAGAAAAAAACAAATTTATATCTTACATGATAGTTTTTAAAATATAAAACCAGATACACAAAGTTTAACTTGATTCATTTCATCAAGATTAAAAAATGACTTATTCTACTTTTTAGGATAAAAAGTCCACTGCAAAATTGAAAAATTCTCTTTGACGTGCTTATCCACTCGATTTGGCAGTGTTGAGCTTGGTGACAACCTCCTGTAGGTTCCACAAAACAATGGCTTAATATTAATACATTAACATATTTCAATAAAAGACCAGTAATAACTACAATGAATACAGATGATGTTGTACCTTTGACCTGGTCAAAGGAACACCACTATTAAGTGGTCAAAGGTACAACACTAGCGCTTCCCGCCATTTTATATATATTCTCAAAAGATATGTGATAATATCAGTTTCAGACATCCAAGACAAGTTATAGGATAAACATCAAATAATAACCCCTCACTTTCATTTTTATTTATAGAAAAATATACATTTTATAAAACAAACAATAAGTCAACAAATTTTTACTTTTCAGTAGCAAAAATGAATAAACTAAAATATCTTCCAACAAACACAGTTTTCAATCTCCAATGAAAGGTGAAGTAGTCCTCTGGTGGCTGATCTATGAACTAGTTTCATTAGCTTCCCTATACAGCCTCTAGATTTCACTAGGCCTATATGACTGGTGGTCAAAGGTACAACACTCTCCCCTACATAAAAACATACGTTTTAAAGTCCTAGACAAATCCTTGTTACTCATTATACATTGTTTACAGCATACGTAATATAAGCACATTTCTGGCCTTAATTGTTTTACAGTGCAAATCCAGTGTTTGAAAGATAACTACTAATTGTTTTACAGCTGGCTTTGGCTGTCAAATAGTGCCAAGGTACAACAATCAAGGAACAGTTAATCGCCAAGATAATAATACAGTACTCTTACACTTGTTTGTATTGATTACTATTTTTGGGATTATTTTGCTAGGCTATAACAAAAAAAGTTATTTTGGAAATAAAGTACTTGTCCTACTAGCAACATTTCATAATTATGTGAAGAAAATGAAGTACAGGCATACTTATTTTCCCCATCTATTAACGCCAAACAGAACAGCTGGGTTTGGTTTTTTTTAATAAGCAAATGATACAGCTGGGTTTTCTGAACTCGAAATTACAAATAATGTAAACAACAAATTGGCCGAATATTTTTTCCTACAGTTACCTGGCGAAGTGGGTTTTCCTTGCACTCTAGTATTCCAACCAAAACATACTTAGATACTTGCATTTTTTACACGCAGTCATCATAAAATATTAAAACCATAGATTTTTAGAGCAATAGATTTGCTGGTAAAAGATAGTAGGGTCGATAAAAACTCTTTGTAGATTTATTCCTCCAACCTTTCTTATTAATCTTGCTGGTGAGAGACACTACTCAAAAACGTGTTACATTTTTCAAAACACTTGAAACCTTTGACAACCTTACTGCACAATACACCCAGTCCATGCACTTATCAGCTTGTAGGATTAAGTGTTATTTTTGATAAGTTATCATGTCCTATCAACCACAAGAAAGAATTGGGTTCATTATAACAATGATATCTCTTAATATCCTACTGCTGCGGTGTAGCGTATTACAGTGTTACAAGAAAAAAGACAGCCGCTTTGGTTTGTAGATTCCGAGCATAGCCATTGATACGCCGTAGGAAAGTATAGTTTCATGAAGGTACAATATTTTATGTACCTTCATGATGTTTTACAATATTTAAACACAAATTCCTTGTAGCAGCAAATATTGGTACTCACTTATTATTTGAATAGGGAAACAATCTGACAATTTGACTGGGACGGGTGGCGTCGTCCTGTAATCCAGCTACTAGGAGGTCACGGATTGTGGATATTTATAGGCATGCACTGTGGATGCGATACTCCCTGGTGTGGATTAACGTCCGCACTAGTGAGTATTACGACTATCTGCAGTACTATCCTGATAATTAGACCAATTCGTATATACCAAGGAAAAATGTGGTTCGGATTCCACTATAAACTGTAGGTCCCTTAGTTGCCATTAGCTGTTTGGGCTATTAATTAACAGCTGTGTCTAAGGAATGTCGGCCTTAGTCACTAACAAGACTACAAGATCGCGCCACTCATCCTACACTCATCTCCATTCATACTTGGCTTAAAATACCTACATTGTATGGTCGCCATTTCATAAGAAAGTATAAAAAGTAAAAGTATAAGTATAAAGTACGTTAAGGATATTTTTAGTAAAGATCCTATAAGGCAAATGGAAGTTCGCTCAGTGTGTAGGTTTGCTGCGGCGGGAGTATACGTTATAGGGCCTAATATCTGAGCATTAGAGAATTTTTAAACTCTAGTTGGCCGTTATGGTTTTAAAATGGTAAAACAACCTACAAAAATTAAGCAGAAAACGGCAATGGTTAACTGTCTTCAGCTGCTCCGAATGACATATTTTAGATCGAGTAACACAACAAACTAGGTACTCAAAACAGCAGTTTGACTAGTTTACTTTCGATCGACTACATTAAGCTACTTCACAGCTTAAAATACAAGAAATGTTGAATGTCCATTTCGGATATACGATTCTATTTTAAAATCCCTTTCTGATCATTTAAAAGTTGTTTATGAATGTAACTGGGTAACATGAAACGACACATTTGCAGATCGGCAATGTCAATCAAAACAAATAACTGTTAGATGCTAAAGGGGTTCAAAGTTCAAACCTAAGACCAATGGTTACATGAGTGTTTTTATACCCACCTCATAGCTGCTCGGTACTCCAATCCTAGTGATAAGGAAGGTTACTCGTCCTTATCTCAAGGTCACAGGCCGCTGGAGTGCTGATAACAGACCACGTTACATACATAATACAATACTTCAATGAATTTTAGTACAGAACATTTTCTGTGGTTAAGGTTGATTTTTTATTTCTTCTACAAATCATACCTATTTGTTTTCTGAATAGTTTAACTTTGGGTCAAAGGATTTGAGTTTTGTCAAACGGCCATAAATTGGTAATAGATCCTGGCTATTTATGACCAATTTTCTGTAATGAGAGAAAACTCTACCTTGGAAGAACTGTGGATGTTAGTTACATAAAAAAATATTGTTTATTTAAGTTTAGTTGAAGAACTAAATATCTAAATCGTTTCAATTATCTATTTACTGTTAAGAGGTGGATATAATATGTTGTCAAAAAGTAACAATCAAAATAAATCCCTCGACCTTTAAAGTCCTGTTAATTCGAAACTTTAAAAGAGGTCTAAATATTGACGGTTTTATGATTCTATGTGAGAATTGCATATAATCCTAAATATAAACTCATCTTAAGAGATCAAAAAATGTTGTGAGATTATTTAAAAATTCCCGTAATATTCTAATCTGATGTCCTTCTGCGTCCAACATAAATTATAAAAATGACGAAAAAAGTAAATAAAAATGCGTATAAAACCCTCTTACATACCTATTATATACACTTATACTGTTAACTCACAAAATGTCGACAAAATGGTTTTTAGCACTGGGTTGTTTTCCAAAATACCCAAAGATTTACAAGTTTCCATTGCATTAACCGGTTTGCAAAATGGAACACAGGACACCATAATGCAAATTTTAACCTAATGACTTTCCTTCAACGAAGTCAAGGACTACAACCAGTAATTGAATGTAATTTTGCTATAAAAGTGCTTAAACTTTCTTGAATAATTGACCTTGTCTTTTTCGTGTTTCGTATGTTATAGAACGTATAAATAACAAAAGAAAACTTATCTCCGTAGTGTACAAACAAAACTGTACTTTTATTTATATAGATTTCTTGTCTTTTCAAAAGATACACGATATTTTTTCTGTTAAGTACATCGGGACTTAGGGACAAGAAAAGTCATATGATCATCGTCTGTTTTAAAGGGAAACGATGATTTTCATAGATCTTAACTATATTCCGTATCGGTACTGTTTTTTGAAACAGTTATTTAAAAAAATTCCTTTGCAAACAACGCAGAACTTATAGATAAGATTTTAGGTAGATTTCTGTTTACATATTTTAACACGGATTTGAAAAATAACTAAGAACATAAAATATTCCACATACTCGGAATGACTAATTTTATGCAAACACTCCTGCTAAACACCTGTGCACATAATGAGCTCAACAGGCAGATGTCGGTTAATGTTTGTGTATGTTAGGTTAGTTATGTTCTGACAAGTCGTTCGCAAATAGTTGTTAAATGCGACAGATACATAGTTCAGGCTGGATTGAAAATGTGCACAGACTGTGTGTATTCTAAGGTAAATATGATTTAATTAAAGTTTATGTAAATTTATACACTTATTTTGCATTGTGAGGATCGAGTTTGAGACATTTCTTGTTCTACTATGTACGTTCTTGAATATCAATGTCTCTTATTTGTGGGAAATAATTGATTTTGTGAGCTGACTAGTGTTTGTGAGGACATACGTACAATAACTCCTACATAAATTAAAACCTCAAAAACCTCTTTTTAACCACGGTATTTCCACAATTTAATTGTAATCGGTAGTTATGACGGAAATTCGTAAATACTTTTACTCTTTTCTGTACACCATGTGAGTCGAAACGCTAGAATAAACACATTAGGTAATGCCACGTTCAATACACGGTAGACACATTCACAATATGTAGCCTTTTCCATTCATAAATACAAAGTCGACGAATTATGGGTCCTACATTTGTCCTACTCAAAATATACTAGTGTACCTGTTGCTCGAAATCTAGCAGTTATCTTAAAACTACATTAATAACAGTCATAATTTTTTATCAGTTGATAGGCTCAACTAAAAGCTTATGTAACTAATAAAAATACTCACTCTATTAATAACAGTTTGAAATAATAAACACTTATTGTAAATATTTTATCATTCTTCAGAAGCCGGTCTTATTTATTAGTGTTTTCTTCAAATGTTTTCCTACTTATAGCTGTTAACCAGTAACATTTCTTGCATGTATTCATTTGATCTGACAAAGTATGTCTACTTTACCACTGTAACAACATGGTGTGTATATTATTCATGTTTTATTTTTTTTACTTCCAAAGTAAGTTCTATAGCAGAACTGGCAAATATTATTCATCTTTTCAAGTGAGTGTGTATCTCCTTTCTAATAGACCAGGCCTCTCTTCTACTCTTCTCATATGTATAAGATCTCCTATTAATTGTCTCCTCCTCCTGTTTTCAATATTTTTTTCTTGGAACTCAAGACATTTTCTGTTATCCAACAAAACTGATTAACTGTTTAGATTGGTTTAATCTCCTGAATATTACTACAATGTTTACTCCCAAAAAGCTGGTACCTTTCATTTATAAACCGCTGTTTTTTTTTGTTTTTTTTTGGAGGGGGTTAAATTTATTCAAAACAATTCTTATGGGGAAATACGACGTTTGAGAGCGCCTAGCACCCTTATGGTTAAGCGTTTTTAAACCTTATTGCAAAGCTACACATCGAGACGAATGTTTTGACACCTTAAACGTTGAAATTGGTTCACAAGTAAGGAAGGAGTAGTGTTAATAAAAAACTGCTTCACGTATTATATATAGAGGGTCCCACGTAAGGTGTTTCAAATTATTGATTACGGGAAAACAGCTTAACGTACAAGGATGAAATAAAATTATTTCCCGCTAAGTTGACCCCAATTAATAACGTAAAAAAATTAATTTGTATATGAAACACAGAGTGTTAAAAATATATTGATTCCCCCCCCCAAAAAAAATGCCGCCATTTTGAAACGGAAAAATGTAATTAATTTCTTTTTTTATCTAATTGTTTGTCTAATAAATACCTTTAAAATGATGTATAATATGACATATGTTTACATTCGAAAATTCCGGGATTCGAACTAGTGACCCTCTGTTTTTGGCACACTCTGTATTGGAAAAAAAATTAAAAATATGTTTACGTTATTCCTTAGGGTCGACTTAGCGGGAAATAATGTTATTTCATCCTTGTGCGTTAAGCCGTTTTCCCGTGATCAATTTGAGACACAGTACACCCTGTATACTTTATATACGTTTTAATTTATTCAAAGTTTTATAATACTTCCATTGAAGCAGTTGTAATTCATCAATCGTTTCGTATCTTGCTTCCTTCAAGTCATGGTTGATTTCAACTGTGAGGTCAAAGGGAAAGTTAGCCTTGAAATCAGATGTGCTTCGTTGACAAATCAGCTGTTTGCAGTCATTGTTGTTATATTCACTCAAAAAATACGATCCTTGCAAATTACGATTATTCATTTTTGTGTTCAAAGTTATAATTTATTTACGTTGGAACATGTGGCAATTATATTCTTCGCATTCATTCCATTATTTATTGTCATAAGAAGAAAATTACAGGTGGGTTCTGAATTTTTACTTCATATATACATTTAAAAAATATACATTAAAAAGTATTTGAAATATTTTAGGTTAACATTCGGTTTAAATTCATCTACTAGAGATGTATTATTTTATCGTATTCAAATGACGCTGAAAAACGGAGTGATAATTTTAAGGTGAAGAAGAATGTAGGATGAGGTTTTTATTAATTATATGGTCCTATAGCCTGTCCCATTTATTAAAAGCCCAGTGATAAAGAACATTTGGACCCAGTTCCGAACAATCAAAAAGCTATTGACTTTTCCCTTGAACTATAGTCTGCATGATGGTATCTGTCACCTGACCCTACCTGGGGACTGACTAATGATCCAGGCTCAGGTAGACATAGATTCATTAGACAGGTCGCATCATGCAGACTATAATGATCTGATTAACAGGCAATCACTATATACAGTATACACCCACACAGCTTTCTAGCTATGATATATTTATGGCTTTGGATATTTTCTCACCCCTATAAAATAGAACGTAATTATTCAACATAACATTCTGTTTCAGGATGGTCAAAAACGGATTCGCACAATTTATGAGCAGAGGTAAGTAATTAAGCACAAAAAAGTTATCCAAGCTTTAACACCACTTCCGTGAATACACCAATCAACTGTGCATTACAATTCATAGATTTTTCCCGTGTTGCACTCAGTATAATGTTGAATATAAAATCAAATTATATTCACATCTTCTTTTCCTACAGAATTACGTTATTTAATTCCCGAACCAGGAATTAATTAGTTTTATATGTGTTTCGTTGTTAGAAAAGGGAAATAGGTTACCTAAGTTTTTACACCGTTTGAATTTCAAATATACCCAGCATTAAATATATTTGCACATAGGCTATTTCTGCGATACTATGAGTTTCTAGTTGTCTTATCACTTTGAGATATTCTTAGAAATCAATCGAAACCCGTTTCAGAAACCTCCAAATTACTGAATGATCCTGATATATCAATACGGACTTCCGGCCCAGTCTTGTATCGTCGTTATGTGTTGGTAAACTGTTAATGGCATGATAACATCATCCTGTCGATCGTTTGTGTTAGTGACCGTACAATAATTTTCACTCGGACCTTGTAATTCATTTGGGTACTACCACAGACTATAGAACCAATTATTTAATTAATGTTATTTCCCGTACTGAATCACTACGGTACTGAAGTGTACGATAATTCATATAGACCTTGTAATTCTTTTGGATACTACGATAATTTACTGTAACCTACATATAATTTTCCATTTCCTGCAATTAATAGACATAGAATGATTTTAAGTTTGCGATTTTAACACTTAGCCAACTTACGATTACCAAATTGGGTCATTTTCGTCCGATTTTGATTAGGTTTGGCATGGTAAACTAGATTGTATTCGCGAAATGTGGGAACATGGAAACGGGGCGTTATAAGGTTTTCATATTATCCCAAAATTGTGTTTTCAATTTTTTACCCTTAAAACATGAAAATGCACTATTTTAATTGCAGACATCTTGTAGACCTAAAAAAATAATTTTGTATACGATTAAAGGTTACGTAACAAAATAAAACAGTATTAATTTGCTTGCTTATTGGTCGATTTCGATCAAATTTGGCAAATTTGTCTATTTCATACTATAATAATATTAACAGTTTACACATATCTACCCTATAGCAGCAAAAGTACTTATTTGAATAAATCTGATATTTTGAAGGACAATTTAAATTTGCTCAATCTGCAGGTGTGCTACGCAGAGGGTATTTAATAAAAATTTGCTACAGCTGTTCCATATTGAAGTGATGTTCACTTTAGTGTTTAAAAAGTATGTTAAAAATCAGCTGTTAGTAAATACTATAGTTGTTTCGACGTGCTACTCGCTTACACGAATTAAAGCTTAAATAATATTTAGTCGTTGTAAAATGTCTTTTTGCTTACTGAAAAATCCTGAATTCAGAAACCTATCCATCAGTGCACACCTTAAACCCTCTTTATTCTCATACAAAGATGGTACAGCAAGTTATTTGTTTACACCAACAATCGCAACCGATCCTACCGATGATTACTTTTATTGCTAACTTTTCCTATGATTTTCTGTCAATACGGCTGGACTGGGGAGTTCTAGTAGCTTACTACTTTGTCTAATGAGATAATAATAGACATGTCCTGTTAATAGCCAAAGTTATCTTATCTAGCCGGTCGGCCAGTAGTGCCCTAACCTCACTGTTATGGTCATCAGTTGGTTAGCGGTTCGTCAGTGTATGTGATTTTGAGGTTATGTGGTTTTGTTTTATGGAATTTACCCCGCTTTTACCAAAGAAATTTTCCAAAACTGGAGATGGGAGAAAATACAAGAGTGAGTAACTTATGTTTTGTTAGAACATTTTAAATTCTTTTTCAAGTAGAATATTAGTCGGATGTTATAAACAACTGTTCGGCTTTAGTTTGCTGCAAAAATATTTTTAGTTGTCGATAAAATATTAAGACGTTAAGTTTATTTAATTAATTAATATCGGGTACTGTGGTAGTAGTATGTGCTGTTTGCTTGACCTGCACAACGACAGTTAGCCCAGAAGATCGAAATTTATATGACTTGATGTTCAAGTTGTGTAATTTTCCTATAGAAATTCAACTATTATTGTAGTACTAGGGGAAACCCGTCGAAATCGACGGTTACTTTCAAGGCTTACGTTAATTCATCTAACTGCGATGAATTGGGTGAAATATACATATTTTGAGCATTTTACATTGTTCAAAGAGTAATAAGTGTAAAAAAATAACAATATTGCGTTAGTTGCCAAATTTGGTTGTTCATTCAATGATTAAAATATTTCCTATCCTGTACGTCATCGGAGTTATTATTAGTATGTTATATGGTATCTCTTCCATTGGTAGAACCTTTAAATAGTATTTAAATCGTAATGGTGGATCTTGTAGTTAAACACTTCCGCGACTTCATCAGTGTTTGAGAAAAAATATATGTTTGTTGAGAAGACACGTTCTAACTTCAAAGGGAGATATACATCCGTTACAGTGTAAGTTTGATTTTCCTTCGTCACGTCGCGTCAGTTCATATCGTACTTCTGTGCCAATGAATGAACCCTCTAGCATAGTTTTGAGAAATTGACTATGGGGTTACTGATAAAGCTGGAATTCCTTGACATGGGGGATGTCAGTTAGTTGTCTCGGCCTTATCAATAACATAAAGTTTGTCAATATAATCTCTCTACGGAATGTTAGGTGTAGTGGAATACATGAAGTAAAGTTGGCTTTTATTCTTGAACTGTTAGGGGCCTCCTAGTTCATATGATCTTGGCGGCTTCATTGGCAATAAATAATGCAAATGACATAGCAATGGAACATTTCCAAAAAGCAAAAATACTGTAAAATGGCTGTTAAGTATATATTGACGTTTACATATTGTTAATCAACGTATATGATAAATACTTTAATCCTTTAATACGTTTTTTATGGCGACCATTCATAGTAGGTAAGCCAAGTATGAATGGAGATGAGTGTAGGATGAGTGGCACGATCTTGAAGTCTTGTTAGTGACTAATGCCGACATTCCTTAGATACAGCTGTTAATTAATAGCCCATACAGCGAATGGCAACCAAGGGACCTACAGTTTATAGTTGAATTGGAACAAAATTTTTTTTGCATTGGTATTTATAAATTGGTATAATTATCAGGATAGAACTGCGGGTAGTCGTAGTACTCACTCGTGCGGACGTTAATCCACACCAGGGAGTATCGCATCCACAGTGCATTCCTATAAATATCCACAATTCGTGACCTCCTAGTAGCTGGATTACAGGACGACGCCACCCGTCCCAGTCAAAGGATTATGTGATCTAGTTTAAAAGGAATATGACCTTTCTGTCATGACAGTAGCTGCTTAAATTGTATTTTCTCTTTGTACCATATTTTACAGCCAAAATATCGTGTTATTTTCAATAATGTTACAAATTCAGTGCGCCAAAGTCCGTAATATAGGCGGTGCAAATAATTTGTCAAGATAGGTACCATTTTAGGCAATGTTTCTAAGTTTGGATTTAATTAGACACAATAAGAGCAGATATTTCGACATAAATATTTGATATTTTGTAGAATAATATGATAAAATGTAGGCAAAAGTGGCGAAAAAGGCACACACCAACCCGTACAATAGATATAAGATAGTTCAATAAGAAATAATTTAAGAATTGCTGTGATAAAAGGATTTTCCACTGATTTCGTAATGGAACGTTATACTGCAAAACATGGCATGCTAAAGAAGAAAATCAATTTTAAAATCAGAAAATAACATTGCAAATACTTATTTGGTAGAATTCAACTCCCAATAAATATGTGTTGTTTGAAATACAATTTAAAAATGAACAGCTGTTTCATTAAAAAGTATTATTCATAGCAACAATGTAAACAACTCTGTGGAGGGATCTTTAAGGGCTTCTGGGGCAGAGTCCTAAGGGATTTTGCTTAGTTTTTCTTTTGATAACTCATCTACAGACCAAGACCTTTCTTTGGACACCTCTACCAAGTTTCTATGCCCAGCCGTTCTCTCAAATTAGTGGGGACAAAGTTTCCAATTAAATATTTAGATTCCCCCATGTTAATCTTATGGGAGAAACTCCAACTTTGATGGCCTGTGGGGCAAAGCCCGAGGATTTTTACTACATGAATTGGTGAAAGGGGGCGTCTACACAAAAAATACTTTATTTTGACACGTCGTTTGTAAAAATCCGTCCATTATTAACGGAGGAGTAGTGTTTTCTAGAAATCGCCTTCACGTATTATATATAAGGATGCCTAATAGTTTATTATTAATTTGTTTGATATGACTATATCTGTGGACTACCTACTGTGATTTTTCCTTTACTAGCGTATTCAAGATTTCCGTTAGTTAAAACACCGTGTTTATACGTTAGTTATAAACACCGTTAGTTAAAACTTGTTTTCAAATATGTGTCTGTAGGTAAAGAATTTGTGTGATTCTACAAGTATGATATAGATTTAGTATAAATGTGTAAACGTAAACCCGCATTACAAAACGTCAACGGACCATCCCACTCAATAGTAGAAAAGAGGTTAAGGCCCCTGAAATAGGGGTTCTTAGTTTTTGAAATATACTTTTTTAGTTTAGAAAATATTTTACACTATTTGGTTTAAATACAAACCCCTGTCACAGCACCCTGCATACTAAGCGAATTTTCATTTGCCTGATTGGACTTTAAATAAAACATTTCCATAAAAATGTCAGGTATATTCCCTATTTAAATAAAAATAATTTAATGAGTGCCTACTCAGGATTGCTGGTACGGGGATGGTAATAAAGTGTGTTTTTAGCGAATTTCCCATATAGGGAATAAGCTATTACCGTAGGTCTCATGGTAAGACCTAGACCCGGGACCGATTTACTTTTTCGTTTTGAGGTCCCCAGAGGCCAAAAACACCATCCGTTCAAATTCATATATATATATATATATATATTTATTTATATATGTGTCCGTTAGCGCGATAACTCGAGCAAAATTGATCCGATTTTGATGAAATTTGGTACAAACGTGTAAA